CTTCCCTCTCCTGCAAAATGAGTTCTGGGATAATTTCTCTTCCCCGTCCCTCCCAGTCTATCTTTCTCGCATTGTGACACAGATATACAGCCTGGCATTTGGGGACTTGCTTCTCGCTTATGCTGGGGGAGGAGGAGAGTATATATATAAAATTGCAGGGGCCTTCGGAAGAAAGAGATACGATGTGACCAAACATGGCGATTTGGGAATCCCTCTTGAGTAGTTGGTTAAAACTCTGCCTTAGGGTTGCAAAAACGTCTTCAGCCTGAAGGCAGCCTTCCAGGGCGCCAAATGAATGCGAATTTCACATTGGTGCAGCAGGCTAGTTTTGATACACTCTCACAAACCCTCTCCATCCTATATCTGTGATGGCCTGGGAATCTGATTCAGAGGCTGAACCGGAGGAACCCCAGCCTGCACAGGAGTCCCCGCCTCCAGGGCCGGCTGAGCTGGGGCAGGGCCTTGAATCTGAAGCGCCTGCACCTGTGTCGTATCCTCAGGAGCAGGCACCAGGTGATTCCACTCTGGCTCTGGAGGTGATTGAGGACACAGTGCCTACAGGTGCGCCTCTCCCAGCCCTGTCAGGGGAAGGTGAGTCTCCCCCTGGGTCCAATAACCCTCCAGCCTCTCCTGAGCTGAGGCGGAGGGAACTGGTTTCTCCCAAGAGGAGTGCTCGCCTTAAGGCCAGGAGAGGTGGGTCACCTGGGGGCCGGGACCGCCCCTGGCCTCAGAGAAGATAAAGGCCAGTCAGCCCAGTCCCAGGTTGCGGGAGCAACATCGTTGAATATCTGCTTCTGCCCGGACCCAGACCTGTCCATCCAGAGTTCCCGTCCCCGCCCGGCTTCCTGCTTCGGACCCCGCCTCACTCTTTGTGAACTGTTTCCAGACTCGTGACCCAGGACCGGACTTTGACTACGCCAACGGTAACCTTCCCCCCGATCCCAGCACAATATCCAAGCAAACAATATTCATTCTGGTTTTTTATATACTGAATTTTTTGCTCTATAAGACTCACTTTTTCCCTCCTAAAAAGTAAGGGGAAATGTGTGTGCGTCTTATGGAGCGAATGCAGGCTGCACAGCTATCCCAAAAGCCAGAACAGCAAGAGGGATTGCTGCTTTCACTGTGCAGCGATCCCTCTTGCTGTTCTGGCTTCTGAGATTCAGAATTTTTTTTTTCTTGTTTTCCTCCTCCAAAAACTAGGTGCGTCTTGTGGTCTGGTGAGTCTTATAGAGCAAAAAATATGGTATATAGATTTTTATTGGGGGTTTTTTAAATATATCATTTCCAACAATCATATAACATAACTTCTTCTCTTATACAATGTTTTAGACTTCCGTCAACACCTCTGATGATTTTCCATTCTTTATCACTTATTCTGCATTTCTCAATTTCTCTCTTACTCTTAATTATCATTAACTAATAATTCTCCTCATAGTCTTTCTTGCAATATTTCAGATAGTCCTCCTTACAAAACTTCTTGCAGTCCTACTAGCATAATCCGTTCATCACAATTACTTTTCAAATAGTTCGTATATTTACTCCAGTCTTCTAAGAATATCTGGTCCTGCAGGTTTCGAATCCTTCCTGTTAATTTATCCAGTTCTGCATAGTCCATCAATTTCATCCGCCATTTTTCTTTCGTCGGTAATCTTTCTTGCTTCCATTTTTGTGCCAGTTAAGCAAACAATATTCATTCTCAGAGTTCAAGGGCCCGTCCAATGGATTCAAATGGTAAGAAAGGAGATTTCAAATAAACATTAGGAAGAGCTTTCTGACAACAAGAGCCAGTGGAATGGACTCCCTTGGAAGGTGGTGAAATCTCCTTCAATGGAAGTTTTAAAGCAGAAGTTGGATGGTCATCTGTCAGGGATTCTTTGCATTGGCTTTTTTGACCCTTAGTCCCTTCCAGCTGTACAATTTTATCGTCCTGTGACCCCAGCCAGGCAAAAGCACTCAAGGAAGTTGTGAAGCAAGACCTGCAGAGAACTCCAAGGACCAGATGGAGAGGTCTGGAGGGCCACATATGGCCCTATTTGCCCCTGATCTATGGAGGAAAAATAGCTCAGTTGGTTAAAGCAAATTTTATTTATTGATTTATTGAATTTATATACCACCTTATACCCGGTGGTCTCAGGGTGATTCACAGAATAAAATCACAATCTATAAAATCAAAATAAGAACAATAACAATAATAGCACACATACACACACACATACACACACAAAGAGAGAGAGAGAGAGAGAGAGAGAGAGAGAGAGAGAGAGAGATATTTTAAAATGGCATAGGATGTCAAACAGATCAACCAAAGGCCTGGTTTAAAAAGAACATTTTTGCCTGGTGCCTAAAGCTGTGTAATGAAGGCGCCAGGTGAACTTCCCTGAGGAGAGCATTCCACAGACGGGGAGCCACTGCAGAGAAGGCCCCGCTCTCGTGTTGCCACCCTCTGGACCTCTCGAGGAGGAGGCACACGATGGAGGGCCTCGGAAGATTATCTCCGGGTCTGGGTGGGCTCATATGGAAAGAGGCAGTCCTTGAGGTATTGTGGTCCTGAGCCTTGAGGTATTGTGGTCCTGAGCCATTTAAGGCTTTATAGGTCAAAACCAGCACTTTGAATTGACCCCAGAAACTCAATGGTAGCCAGTGCAGTTGGACCAGGATCACTGAAATATGCTCAGAGCATCTTGCTCCGGTGAGCAACCTGGCCGCTGAATTCTGCACTAGCTGAAGTTTCCGAATCGTTTTCAGTAGTTAGGCCATCCCTGTTCAGATAAGGGTGTAGCTGGGCCACTAGCTGAAGCTGATGGAAGGCACTCTGGGCCACTGAGGCCACCTGAGGTTGCAGGTTCAGTCCCCGTATGGGGCAGCTGCATCTTCCTGCACTGCAGGGGGTGGGACGAGATGATCCTCAGGGTCCCTTCCAACTCTATGATTCTATGTAGATGTGAAAATATTCAATGAAATGTAGGGTCGAACCTTTAAATGCTCCTAGAAATATTTCCAGGAAAACACCTTATGCTCCCGGGGATCCTACGTTTTCCGACTCAACAAGTGGAGCACAAGGGGTGAGGCACAGTCTCTAAAACGACATAAACCAGAAGCACTTATTTGTGCCCACATTGACAAGGGTGATCGCTTGAGCGTTGTCGTTAGAGCTGGGAAGACTTTATAAAGTGTTTTCAAATACAATTGCTGTACACATCCCCCTGGGGAGATGTCTGTAGGGAGATGGCCAAGTGGAACGAAGTGTGTGCCTGTTCTCTCTCCAAGGTTGTTCGATATTTTTGAGGCGGAAGCAGGCGGAAGCACATGGCCCAAAGCCCTCTGCTCCAAGCTGAAGGCTCCGATTTGCCGGGCAACGCTATGTTGCAGCTTGGGAAATCCCGCCGGAGCGCCAGAGCGCGGGATGGAGTTCACGGACTGTCGCCCGGCATAAATCAACCACTCGCTCTCTCAATTTCAGCGTAACGGCTGTAGCGGCGTTTGCCAGCTGGGGCTCCCAACCCGCCAAGCTGACCTGCTTTCTGTCATCGGGGGCTGGGATTTCTTTGCAACTGGCTGGCAAAACTTACAAACATCAGGACACAATGAGAGCCTGCTGTCCAACACCCTCTTCTCACAGTGGCCAACAAGATTCCTGGGGGAAACCAGAGAAATTGGATTCGAGCACAAGAGCAGTTCTCCCTTCTTGTGGTTTCCAACAAAGGGCGTTCAGAAGCAGTGCTGCCTCCAACCATAGAGGCAGAGCCATCGTGGCTAGTGGCCATTGCTAGCCCTCTCCTCCTCCATGATTTTATCTCCTCCTCTTTTATATCCAGAGGGACGCGGGTGGCGCTGTGGGTTAAGCCACAGAGCCTAGGACTTGCTGATCAGAAGGTTCGAAAGCACATCAGAGAGCAAGTAGATAAATAGGTACCGCTCCGGTGGGAAGGTAAATGGCGTTTCCGTGCGCTGCTCTGGTTCACCAGAAGCGGCTTAGTCATGCTGGCCACATGACCCGGAAGCTGTATGCCGGCTCCCTCGGCCAGCAAAGCAAGATGAGCGCCACAACCCCAGAGTCAGTCACGACTGGACCTAATGGTCAGGGGTCCCTTTACCTCTTTTATCCATCTAGGTTGGTGGCCACCCCTGATTCCTGCAGAAGTGAGTTCCATAGGTTAACCATGTTCTTTGCAAAGAACTGCTTCCTTTAGTCCAAGGGTCAGCAAACTTTTTTAGCAGGGGGCCGGTCCACTGTCCCTCAGACCTTGTGGGGGGCCGGACTATATTTTGGAAAAAAAAATATGAACAAATTCCATGGCCCACAAATGACCCAGAGATGCATTTTAAATAAAAGCACACATTCTACTCATGTAAAAACACACTGATTCCCAGACCATCCGCGGGCTGGATTGAGAAGGTGATTGGGCCGGATCTGGCCCCTGGGCCTTAGTTTGCCTACCCATGAGCTAGATGGAGCAATGCTCTGACTCTGTATAAGGCAGCTCACTTTGCTCCTATTTAATAATAATAATAATCTAATAATAATAATTTACTATTTATACCCCGCCCATCTGGCTGAGTTTCCCCAGCCACTGTGGGTGGCTTCCAACAGAACACTAAAATACAATAACCTATTAAGCATTAAAAGCTTCCCTAAACAGGGCTGCCTTCAGATGTCTTCTAAAAGTCTGGTAGTTATTTTCTCTTTGACATCTGGTGGGAGGGCGTTCCACTGGGCGGGTGCCACTACCGAGAAGGCCCTCTGTCTGGTTCCCTGTAATTTGGCTTCTCGTAGCGAGGGAACCACCAGAAGGCCCTCGGCGCTGGACCTCAGTGTCCGGGCAGAACGATGGAGGTGGAGACGCTCCTTCAGGTATACTGGGCTGAGGCCGTTTGCCTACCCATGCTTTAGTCTTTCCTGAATCTTCCAAGGTGCGGGTGGCTGGGTCTTTTCGGTGGGGTATGATACCAAGGAACAATTGAACTAACTATCAACTATCTTCCTCTCGCTCCAACAGCCCCTCCCATGTCTATCTCGGTCATTGCTGCAGACACGCCAGCTCCCTTCAGCCGCTACCAGGCTCAGAACTTCACTCTGGTCTGCATCGTCTCCGGCGGGAAGCCTGCCCCAATGGTGAGTTTTGGCAAGGGCAGTGAATTGGGGAGAGGGCAGAGCATTCAAGGAGGTTCGCCCACGTGACCCCTGGGGCCCTTCCCAACTCTACAATTCTCTGATTCCACCATTTTAATGGGACGCGGGCGGCGCTGTGGGTTAAACCACAGGACTTGCTGATCAGAAGGTTGGCGGTTTGAATCCCCGTGACGGGGTGAGCTCCCGTTGCTCGGTCCCTGCTCCTGCCAACCTAGCAGTTTGAAAGCATGTCAAAGTGCAAGTAGATAAATAGGTACCACTCCGGCGGGAAGGTAAACAGCATTTCCGTGCACTGCTCTGGTTCACCAGAAGCATCTTACTCATGCTGGCCACATGACCCGGAAGCCGTACGCCAGGTCCCTCAGCCAATAAAGCAAGATGAGCGCCACAACCCCAGAGTCGTCTGCGACTGGACTAATGGTCAGGGGTCCCTTTACCTTTACCTAAGGAAAAGCAAGGTATTCCGGGATCAAATCAGAAACCAGGACAGCTTCTGAAAATCCGGGACTGTCCATGGAAAATGGGGACACTTGGAGGGTCTGAGAGAATCGCCTGCTCCCTATAAGCAGCCCTGGTCAATAGCCCTGCTGCAGCTCTTGGAGCCTGTTGACATTTCTGATCCCCCTTGGCTGATCCTTTTTTTAAGCCTAGATGATCCCCTCAGCCCACCATGCTGAAATATAGATGAACAGGGAGAAGGGAGTTGCAGAGGAAACCACAACCAGGCTAATTGAAGCGTTTTGTCACCTAAATGGGTGCCTTCCAACTTAGAATTCTATGATTCTATGAAGTTGCATTCCTTCTGTGGGCCATAAGATCAGTTTCATATCAGTTTCATGCTGAATTTGTGGACCAGGTTCGTAGAATTGTCCTCTAGTCCAACCCCCTGCAATGCAGGGATCGCAGCTGAGGCCCAAGCTAAGTGGGGCCCATTTGGAGGAATTTGGGCATTGGCCAAGTTGGGTTAAGCCAGTCACAGATCGCTGAGGGTCAAGTTGGCTGGTCCAGAGCTATCAGGGCTTTTGTCAGACAGGAAGGAGCAGCAGGCACTGGGTGGGAACACCCCATGAAGAGGCCAACATCCCCCAGATCGCCGGCTGTGTCTCCCCAGGAGAAGGTAGGAGCCCAACAATGCCTGGCTCTCCTTCCTGCAAGAAGCAGTACCCAAAAGGATCAGTGCCTCCACTGAATAGCTGCTCAGCGGAGGCTTCGATCCTGTGGGTGCAGGCTGCTCCTTTCCAAATGGCTTCTATGTGGGCAGGGGCGCCAACTGCTGTGGGTCAAGCCCGTGGCTCCAGGATGTGGGATGTGAAGCACAAGAGCAGTCAAGTACAACATTCCTAGAGTGAACATGTTCACACATGGGGAGGAATGTTTGTCCAGCCAGCAGGTAAACTTCCTGTTTCCTTCTGGGCTGGAACAGACTTCCTCTGCATGTGACTAGAGGTGGGTGTGGCCTCACCTGTGCAGGTAATGAGAAAAGCACAGGGCAGGGCAGCCATCTCTCTCTCTTTGACTACATGCATTGAAGAAGCAACATCTGCTTAGCCAAAGATGCTCTCTTGGCCAAGAGAGGACAAAGGGACTGTCTCCTTGTTAGATAGTTTCCAGGTGTATGTTAACTTTTCTAAGCTAAGTCTGCCTTCTGGGATCCGATTGTGAACAGAATGTGAGTAAACTCTTTCTATATTTTTATAGAAGACTGTGTCGTGTCTTATCTTTTATGAGGGAATAAGGGGGAAATACCAGAACAGTTAGTGTAGAGGCTTTAGCGAGCCTGAGCAAATGCATCCGCTGCAAGTTTAAAAAGAGGAATGTTACTCTGCTAAATTGTGAAGTTGTTAACACAAGTTGGAAAGGCTATAATCAGACAATATTTCCTCTCCTGCATCCCTGAACATTCCCACACAGGAAGAAGTGGAGAAGGAGCTGCCAGCCACTGCAGCCATGTGACCACCGCGCTAGGCTTTGCCCCCAGCTCTTCCCGATGTCCTGATGTCACACGTGCAACATTGACACCCTCCCATTGCCCTTGCAAGCTGGCGCTCTGCATGGAGGAAAGTTGCTTGTGCATCAGCCCCCTGCAGGATCGATGCCTCTGCACAACTGCTGTGTATAAGAGACATCGACCCTGTGACTGTAGGGTGCCCATTCCCTGCAGAGAAGCCACTTGACTTGCCCTCCCTTGCTGTTAGTCAGAGGCAACAGGACAGACCCCCCCCCCTTTCTTGGAGGAGCTCTCTTTTAGGAACCCCTCCCTAGAGAGACCAAACTGGCTCCCTCCTTGCTGCCCTTCCTTTGGCATATGGAGACTGTTCTATTCCCACAGGCTCTTGGGAACTGACTGGTTTTTTAAAGGAAAGGGCTTTCAAATAGAGCCGTGCTGCTTTTATCATCTGCATTCTAATATATTTGTGGGAGGTTTTTTATCCCTTTTAATTCTATTGGAGTTTAATTGCTTTTTAACTGTTGTGTGCTTTTAGCTTTTTGCATTTTATGTGCGTTGTTTTAAATTGTGGAAGCTGCCAGTTTGAGAAAACAATGGAATATAAATAAATACAGTTCTACTTCTGTTCATCATCATCATCATCCCCCCAGCAATGTCAAGCTAGATGGAACGAAAAACTCAGTGGCAGGGCACGTGTCAGCCTAGATAGCTCAGCTCATTAGAGAGCAGTGCTCATAATGCCAAGGTCGCAGGTTCGATACCTATATGAGACAGCTGCATATTCCTGCATTGCAGGGGGTTGGACTAGATGATCCTCAGGGTCCCTTCCAATTCTATGATTCTATGTTTGGCATGTTGAAGGCCCCTGGTTTGGTCCCTGACACCTTCTGGCAAGCATCCCTGGAGAAGCTGCTTCTAGTCCAATGGTGTGATTCAGTATGAGGCAGCTTCCTGGGTTCAGGAGTGAGACTCTGCTTCCCATTTCCTATCTGTAAAATGTGGATGGGAGAAGCAAAGGTGGCCAACCTTTTCAGGCTGTTGTGAAGCAAAACGAGATCTGTCCTGTGCATCAGTTTGCATGCTGTTAAATGGAGTTTGGAAAATGATATCTTCCTCTGCGGTCTCTCTGGAGATGTCTAGAATTTGTCAGCTTTTTTTATTTTCCTCCCAGACTCATCCCTCCCCTCTCTCTGCCTCATCTCTCCCCTTGTGGATTCTCTTTTATGCAAACACACGTAAGAGATTTAAAGTGGGGAGGCGGTGGGAGAAGTGAGGGGGGGGAGAGGAAGAGAGTTGAGGATCTAAGGACCCCGAGACTTATTTCTGCTTATTCGTTTCGATGTTTGAAGCGTCTGAATTTTTTAAAAGGGAGAGAGAGGTGAGAGGAAGCCTTTTTCAAAAAACGTATACTTAAAAATAAAATGCAAACCACACACTTATCTGCAAACATTCCTGCGGCCGTTTCATTACCACCATGACATCCGGAGCTTGAAAGGAGCTTTTGATAAAGGAATACAATCTTCTCTTCAGAGAGAGACGTTCAGAAATATTTTTAACAGGCATTGCATCTGCAGAGAAACCGTCCTCCGAGCTACATAAACACACTCTCGCATGCACCTCTGCAGACTGGCACCCTCTGTCCATGCATACCTGTGTGATCATATAGCCACAGTTCGGGGTTAAATAATGTGGATGCCACCCTACCGATGTTGTGGGTCTCGGCATCAGGACCACCCAGGACAGCTCAGGGATGCCAGGGGTCCAGAAGCATCTGGTACCCAAATGCATTCTGGGAGGTGGCCACACGATCCTGCTGGGGCAAGGTGCTCCTGGGCCTAGGAGCCACTAGGGTGAAGGTCCTCTCTGGGGCCTCAGATAAAACTCAAATGTTCATTGTCCTCTCCTGTGACCTAGGGAGGTTGGCAGAAGCAGAAGCAGAAACAGAAATGGAAATTTGATATCCGCTTCCTTGTCCCATGTCTGGAACAGAAATCGATGCAGCAGATGTGATTGGTATTAGCTGTTGTTGCTTTCCACCTACAAATGAGACGTAATTAATTATGCTCCTCCCTCCCTCCCAGTTTCTATTGTGTTTCATGGTGTGGAATAACGTAATGACAGCGCAACATACACTAGTTATTTAATTTCACCACAGTGAACAGTGAGGTGAATAGGGAAGGCCTTGGCGGAAAGTCAATGGCAGCAGAATGGAAACAGGGCTGCAGGGCTCCCATGACTCTTTGAGGGAAGCCATGGCTGTTTCAAAGTGGTATCAGAGCGCTTTAATGGTGTGGTGTGAATGTGGGCTGTATTTCTGCTCTTGAGAAGGAATTGATTGCAGTCTCTTCCCGAATTTCCCTCTCCAGGTGTACTTCAAGAGAGACGGGGAGCTGATTGAGGTGGTGCCCCTCACAGAAGCCCCCATTAATGCCGCTGGGTTGCAAGACGGCCGGGCCTCCCGGAACCTCTTCCACCGAGACATGGACGACACCAAGATGCAGAAGTCGCTCTCCCTCCTGGATGTGGAGGACCGGGGTGGCAGGCCCTACACGGAGGACCCCTTGAAAGGCCTCACCCCCAACCAGGGACTTTTGTTCAGCCCAGCTACGGAGATCATCCCAGAGACTGTGGTGAGCCGGGAGTTTCCGCGGTGGATCCAGAACGTGGAGCCCATCTACTACTTCCACCACACCCACATCCCCATCAGCGATGGCACCGTGGAGGTGCGGGCCATGCTCATGTGGACGCTTAACCCCCAGATAGACAATGATGCACTCTTCAGTTGTGAGGTCAAGCACCCTGCCCTCTCTATGCCCATGCAATCCGAAGTGACGCTAGGTAAGATGGGTGGCCACCATGGTTGGTGGGAGAAAGTGGGGTGGGCACATGGGAGTGGGTCAAACCATCTGGAAGTGGACCTGGAATGGGCACTCAGGAGTGGACCGGTCCACCGGGATGTGTATGTGAGATGCACACTTGGGAGTCAATTGAAGCATCTGGAGATGAATGTGAGATAGGCATTTTGGAGTGGATTGACCCATCTAGAGGTGATTATGGCAGGGCTCCATCATGTCTGCTCTGTGCTGGTGCACTAAGGACTAGGTCTAATGGGCTCCTGTTGCAGGAGGGTAGACTTTGATTGGACCTATGGAGAAACATATCTGTTGCTACAGTGGTTTGAAAATGGCATCAGTTGCCTAGGCTAGGGAAGCGGGGCCTTTGCTGGACATTTTCAAGCAGAGGTTGAACAAGTATTTGTTGGGGATGAGAAAACTCTGGATTCCTTGCAGTTGTATGGATGTAATAATGTACATCCACACAAGGGCTGTCACATGGAAGAGGGAATGAGCTTGTTCTCTCCTACTCTGGAGGGTAGAACTCGAACTAATGGCTTCAAGTTACAAGAAAGGAGATTCTGACTAAAAAAATTGTGACAGTAAGAGCTGTTCAACAGTCAAACAGTCTCCCTTGGGAGGTGATGGACTCTCCTTCCTTGAAGGCTTTTAAGCAGAGGTCATGGGTGCTTTAAAAGGGACACGGGCAGTGCTGTGGGTTAAACCACAGAGCCTAGGACTTGCTGATCAGAAGGTTGGCGGTTCACATCCCCGCAACAGGGTGAGCTCCCATTGCTCGGTCCCTGCTCCTGCCAACCTAGCAGTCCGAAAGCAGATCAAAGTGCAAGTAGATAAATAGGTACCACTCCAGCGGGAAGGTAAATGGTGTTTCAGTGCGCTGCTCTGGTTCGCCAGAAGCGGCTTAGTCATGCTGGCCACATGACCCTGGAAGCTGTACATCGGCTCCCTCGGCCAATAAAGTGAGATGAGCGTCGCAACCCCAGATTCGGCCACGACTGGACCTAATGGTCAGGGGTCCCTTTACCTTTACCTTATGGATGCTTTAGCTGAGATTCCTGCATGGCAAGAGGTTGAACTAGATGACCCTCAGGGTTCCTTCTGACAGGACCAGTGGTCAGCGATGATGGGAGTTGTAGTCCCAAAACATCTGGAGGGCCGAGTTTGCCTATGCCTGGTACAGTGGTGCCTCGCAAGACGAAAATAATCCGTTCCGCGAGTCTCTTCGTCTAGCGGTTTTTTCGTCTTGCGAAGCAACCCTATTAGCGGATTAGCGCTATTAGCGGCTTAGCGGCTATTAAAGGCTTAGCGGCTTAGTGGCTAAAAGGCTATTAGCGGCTTAGCGGCTATTAAAGGCTTAGTGGCTTAGCGGCTAAAAGGCTATTAGCGGCTTAGCGGCTTAGAAAAAGGGGGAGTGAAGTGAAAAAAAATTGCAAGACTCGCAAGACGTTTCCGTCTTGCGAAGCAAGCCCATAGGGAAAACCGTCTTGCGAAGCGCATCGAAAAACGGAAAACCCTTTCGTCTAGCGGGCTTTTCGTCTTGCGAGGCATTCGTCTTGCGGGGCACCACTGTATAATGTGTTGCAGTATTCTAACCTAGAGGTTACCAGAGCATAGGCAACAGAAGTTGGCTATTCTTGCCTGTTAGGCCACCATCTGAAGCTGATGGAAGGCACTCTGCACCACTGAGGCCACCTGAGCCTCAAGTTACTGCAATGGCTCCAGGAGGACCGCCCCCCCCCCAAGCTATGTACCTGCCCCTTCAGAGGGAATGTAACCTTATGGATGACTTTTAAAAGGTATTAGACCGATTCATGGAGCATTAGGCTATCAGTGGCTACCAGTAATGATGGATGTATCAGAGGATCAGAGGCAGTCTACCTTAAGTTGCTGGGGATCACAAGAGGAGAAAGCTGCTGTTGGACTCAGGCCCTGTGTATAGACTTCCCTTTGGGGAATCTGGGTACCTACTGTGAGAACAGGATGCCAGTTTAGGTGGGCCGTTGGCCTGATCTAACAGGTTCTCCTTATGTTCTTATAACATCCTTTAATGCATTCTAAGAAGTATAGGAAATTTTATTAAGCGCCCCGTGCACATCCCCACTGTGAAATTCCACATGAATTCCCCCTCCCACCTCACACACAGGCCAAAATGATTGGCCCAACACTCGTTGAGATTTGAGCTTATTTCCGAGGGAAGCAAATTGGTGTGGCACCAGGAAGGCGCTCTCTCTCAAAAAGGGGTCCTTCCAAGCGTACGGTCCTGGAACTGTTCCTTTTAAATTAATGAAATTGCCTGCCTTCCTCCACCACCCTGCAGCTCCACCTGCTTGTACTTTCCTTAGGTCTAATGGGCTCTTCAGACCATTATCAGCCATCTGAGATTGCCTCATCCAGCTGAGATCTCTTGTCAGGCATAAATGATGGTTCCCTCCTCCCTTCCGTCCTACACATTTCGTTCCTTCGTTCTCTCTTTCCTTCTCATTAAAAAAAGAAGGCAGTTATCTAGAGTGTGAGCGCAGACCTTCGCTCTCCTCCTCCTTTGTTCTTGCCCATCATTAGTGAGCAAGATTTGAGCTAACGAGCCTTGGTGGACTGCAAGCCGTGCTGAAGGAACGCCGGGGGAAATTTTCTGCTTCCTCCATTTCATCCAGTGCCTTAGCTCTGCTAGGAAGGTGTGTAATTCACCTTTCAACCTGGTGGCTCCCAGGGTGGTGATTAGCTGTGACTCCTGCATCACAGGGGGTTGGGCTAGATGACTTTTGAGGTCCCTCCCAACCCTACAATTCCATGAGATGAAGAGTCACCCAGAAGTAGAATAACCCACAGAAATTACACACATCTCCACCTTCAAACTAAGCCACCTTTACTGCCCCTAGGTACCACCATTACAACTTTGCCATCTATGGAGCAAGATGGACCACAACTCTGACTTGGGTATAAGGCAGCTTAATATGCTCCTATTTAAGCCATCCTGGGAGGACTTCTGCCTGAAAATCTGAGAGAGCTGCTGACAGTGTAGATAATTCAGAGCTAGAGGGACCCATGGTCTTACTCAGCACAAGGAAACTTCAATAGGATCATATGAGTATGGCTCTCCTAGCTGACGACCTGAGATCAGATAGTAGGGCATCTTGCCCATATATCTACATACGTCCCTTCAAAATGTGCTCCAGGTTGAGAAACTGTATCGCACTTGGAACTCCTGGTTGTTGAAGGAGTTCAGAGAGGGAGCACGGATGAAAGTCGGATAAGGTTCTGGCTGCCATTCCTTCATCGCAAAGAATCTCACAACCACTTCTGAGGAAAGCATTGATATCATAGCTGAAAGGGAACCTGCCAGTGTCATAATGCCGTTATACAAATCTATGGTGTGACCACATTTGGAATACGGTTCCGGGTGCCTGACTTCAAGAGGGATGTTGTTGAGTTGGAAAAGGCTCAGAAAAGGGCAACCAAATTAATCAAGGCGGTGGGGTGGGGGGGTGACTCCCCTAGGAAGAAAGATTTCAGTGTTCCGGACTTTTTATCTTAGGGAAATGGTGAGTAAGAGGTGAGATGGTGGAAGTACATGAAACGATGAATGGCCTGGAGTAAGTGGATTGAGGGAAATTCTTCTCCCTCTTTCATAACACAAAAACTGAAGTAAAGCTGAATGTTGGAAGATTCAGGGCAGATAAAAGATGGACTTTCGTGCAGTGCACAGTGGAATGCAATGCAGCACCAAGGAATAAAGTCCACTTGCACAATGGGACATTCACCTCTCTCCTCCCAAACCTGTTTCTAGGGGTTCCTCCATCCCTCCAGAGCAGATTTTGTGTTGCGCAAGCAAACCTCGTTCCTTGTATGCCACAACTTAGTTGAATCTTGCCCCTTCTGCAAGGGGTGGCTCGCTTGCTGTGGAAAACCCACCCATCTCCCTTGCCAATGTTTGAGGCATAGCATGTGGGTCAGTTTTAGCTTGTGGACCACCTTCCTTCCAGACCCATTACAGTAGTACCTCGGGTTAAGTACTTAATTCATTCCAAAGGTCCATTCTTAACCTGAAACTGTTCTTAACCTGAAGCACCACTTTAGCTAATGGGGCCTCCTGCTGCCGCCACACCGCCGGAGCATGATTTCTGTTCTCATCCTGAAGCAAAGTTCTTAACCTGAGGTACTATTTCTGGGTTAGCGGAGTCTGTAACCTGAAGCGTATGTAACCCGAGGTACCACTGTATTTCCCTGCTGGATCAGTAGCACAGAAACATTTCATGAGATGGCATCCCATCCCATACATTACAGCAACTGGCCTCTGGTTGGCCAATGTGAAAACAGGATGTTGACAAGCCAGTGTGACCACATTTGGAATACGGTTCCGGGTGCCTGACTTCAAGAGGGATGTTGTGTGCAGAAGAGGGCAGCCAAGATGGTCCAGGGGTATAGAAGCCAAGCCTTATGAGGAATGGTTGAAGGAGCTGGGTATGCTTAGCCTGGAAAAGAGGGAACTGAGAGGAGATATGAGAGCTATCTTCACATATCTCAAGGGCTGTTACATGGAAAATGGAACAAGCTTGTTTTCTCCTGCTCTGGAGAGTAGGACTTGAACCAACGGCTTCAAGTTACAAGGAAGGAGATTAAGACTAAACATGAACAAGAACTTTCTGACAGTAAGAGCTGTTTGACAGGGGAACGGATTCCCTCAGGAGGTTGTGGACTCTCCTTCCTTGGAGGTTTTTAAGCATGGCCATCTGTCATGGATGCTTTAACTGAGATTCCTGCATTGCAGGGGGTTGGACTAGATGACCCTCATGGTCCCTTCCAACTCTGCAGTTCTATGCTTTTATGTCTATGCAGGATGCGGGTGGCGCTGTGAGTTAAACCACAGAGCCTAAGACTTGCTGATCAGAAGGTCGGCAGTTCGAATCCCCATGATGGGGTGAGCTCCCGTTGCTCAGTCCCTGCTCCTGCCAACCTAGCAGTTCAAAAGCACATCAGAGTGCAAGT